CAATTCAGCCTAAGGATTAGATGGGCACAAGTACAAGTAATACCCAAAATCACAACAACAGAAATAGTAAAATACAGTAACCAGCTAAAATATCTACTTTAACGAAGACGTGATCAGTGAAGTATCATTTCTATTAGGTTTTATTTTATATCAAATAAGTACTAATTAGAATTTAACAGGTTTTTATAAAATCTATTGTCATACATTATTAGAGATATTCTTTAATGTTCATTGCAGTTTTATGCCAAACCTATGACAATTAATGTATGGCGTTAATTGATTTAATTATGTGAAATATTCTTATGAATCGATCAAGACAACAAAGTGGAGGTTAAATGCGTAATTAAAGATATAAATACTAAAATAAGAAACTTAATCAAAATTCTAACAACGCCATGGGTCGGTATTAGAAACCAAATTATGAAAAGTGTTTCTATTACCGCCCTTATTTAAAATTGTATTTAAGCCACATAAATACAGCGAGAGGGCTATATTGAGGGTTTATTAAGGAAACTAAAGTACGAATTAATATTGTTATGCAAAAACATGTTGGTATACTCATTTTAAATGTGTTAAAATCGCTAATTAATAACAAGGTGCACCTTAAGTAGCTGGGAGCGCGTCAGTATGAAAAGTGCGTCCGTTGCGGGCGCGTCCCATTTAATGTGAAATAACTCCGTTTACTGGTTATTTACGAACACAAACTTTAATCGTTTTGATAGTCAATAAACATATCTAGATATTTTTTAAGTAACGTGTTTTCTGGAACCTGTTATTATGTCTTTTATGAAAGAAAGAAAAATAGGGCGGTAATAGGATACAAATTTTGGGGGGTCGTTAATAGGCGCACTTACGTTAGTATAGATTATGCAGTATAAAACGTTCGCCAAATGGGATTCACATTTGGGAAATTAACTTTCGTCAAAAAAAAGTTAGGCGTAATAAAAAGTTGCTAAACAAAATTCGGCCAAACAATATTGTATTTTACGCTTAAAGTTTGTGTGCCATAGACAATTTATTTTATTGGGCATAAAAATATCAGGCGATTCGATAGAAACAAGGGAAAAATATAATTATTTCGAAAGGCGACTCTTAACGCTAGAAAAAAATTAAAAACTAGGTATCACTTACATAAAATGAATAAATAAAGGTCAAAATGTATTTCTTTTATACGGGGGGCTAGCAGGCAAAATACAATCCTGAAGAATTTTATGCATACTTCGCCTTGTGAAGTTTTGTGTGTAGCAGAAAAAATTTATCGCGCGCGTCCCTGTTCAAAAACCGGTATAAAAACTATCCTATGTCTTTTCCCGGGACTCAAATTATTTCTATGCCTTTCATCGAAATTATGGGTATTTTGTTTAAGGCGATTAGAGTCCTCAATGACCTTGGGCGTTTGACCTTCACGCCGCGCGAAACAATGTTTCAAAATATTGTTAGCGCTCAAACGATGATAAATATAGATATCCGTGATAGAGAAACGTGTTAGCTAAGTCAATAAAAAATCTGAATGCATAATAATAATTTTAAGCACAGAACATTTTTGTTTAATTTTGATCCTGTTGTAATTATTTCTGTTAGTAAACTAAGGATTCGGTTAGAAAAGACAAACAAACAATGGTTTCAATATTAAATAGGTTTTAATTGAAAATATAAACGTATAGAAGATCACCTGACGTGTCAACTAAGCACGAAATCTACTCCTGGATCTGGTCGCAACCGATTGGATGTTCGTGGTTTGGTCAGAGAAGAACGATTTTACTTCTTTCATATTATCTGACAATTCTTCTTTTTCCATTTCGGACAATATGATAGGAAGCAGGTAGTACCTGTAAATTTTGTTATTGTGTCCCGCAAACAATACAACAGCCATCTCCACAGAGATGGCACTTGGCTTCGTATCCAAAATTATGTCTGCAATTTCAGAGGTGCCATTTGCGTATGCCAAGTATGTTTTCTTACCAGCTACGACTGGAACAGCCTCTTCTACCACGAAAGGTGGCCTCAAAAGCTGAACATCAGAAGGATGCGCCGGTAGGCCTTTAATGCGCTTTACAGTACCGTCTTCGGCAAGTCTAACATAGACGTGTTTCTTATTATTCACGAAGTACAAATTGTTAGCCGAGTCCAATACAATTTGCTGGGCGTTCTTTACATTGGTTATCTTTTCCTTTCTAGTGCCATCATTCGTGACTTTGTAAACAACATTTTCTGCTGTTAGAATGTAGAAATCGTTGGTGCCGTTAATTACAGCGATGGCAATAGTATTGTCAGTCACTGTACCATATTTTTCGGCTTTTTTCTCCTGTTCGTTGAATCTGTAGATGCCGTCGGAAGCTGCGAAGTACACTTCTTTGCTTTCGTCACTGGACGCGGAGATGTCGTTGCCGTTTTCGAGTAGCTTGGTTGCTTGTTTGTTTTGCAAGACAAAGAGGCCCTTTCCTTCTTCGATGAAGAAGACATAGATGTCTTCTAAGTTTATTTCATCTAAGTCGATGGGAGCGTCTTCATCTACTGTATAGTCGAAGTTTATGGAGTTGACTGGGACGACTATGTTGGTGATATCTTTCTTTCCGCGATAAATGACAAATGCTTCTGGGAAAAACGCTTCGTTGATGTCCAGGGTGTGGTCATTGGTGGTGGGCTTGGTGGACGCCAGCCCGACCAGAAGAAGTGCCGTAAAGGTGGCCAAAGTATTCATGGTGTCTGAAAAAGAAGGACTGAATGAGAAGAACTGTTTATTTTAATAATTGATGTGCTGGTAGGTAGTAGGTAGAAGTAGAATGTTGACAAACGTAAGGCCTATTTAAAAGCTTCTTTGTTCAAGTGGCAGTGGGCGGGGCACATAGCTCGAAGTGCTGATGGCCGCTGGGGCAGGAAAGTTCTTGAGTGGCGACCACGAGTCGGAAGACGTAGCGTGGGCAGGCCTCCCACTAGGTGGACCGACGATCTGGTGAAGGTCGCGGGAGGTGTCTGGATGCGAGCGGCGCAGGACCGGTCTTTGTGGAAATCCTTAGGGGAGGCCTTTTTCCAGCAGTGGACGTCTTTCGGCTGAAACGAACGAACGAACGAAAAGCTTCTTTAGGCAAAGTAAAAGTAAACCGATATTACAAGTCGGATTTTATAAAATTTATTTTGTATGAAAATTAAAAAAATAATAATTATGATATCAAATTTCTGACTTCACCATACCATTTATATGACCATGTTAACATGGGCTAGTGTCGGCTCATATACCCATTTACCTAACACCCTGTAAAATAATCACACCTACTACTATAGGTAGGTACTACTTTTAAGAAATCTGGGTATTCGTCAGGTAAAAGATAAGTAGATTATCAATTTGTTATCAAAAGTGGTTTTGACTGCAAAAATCAGTCAAAAGTGGTTTTGTCTGATTTTGAGTTTTGACTGTAACCTATACGTGTCCAATATTTTTTGATATTAATATTGATGGACTAAAAATGGTTTTAGGAAACTTGCTTAAATGAAATAGATAGGTAGGTATATCAGGAGAGGAGGAGATCCGTAAACGAACTAAAGTCGCTGACATAGCCTGACGGATTAGCAAGCTGAAGTGGCAATGGGCAGGGCACATAGTACGCAGAACTGACGGCCGATGGGGCAACAAGGTTCTGGAGTGGAGGCCGCGTGCCGGAAAACGCAGCGTGGGACGTTCCCCTACAAGGTGGACCGACGACATCGTAAAGGTAGCGGGAAAGCGCTGGACGCAGGCCGCTACCAACCGGGTAACATGGAAAGCATTGGGGGAGGCCTATGTTCAGCAGTGGACGTCCTACGGCTGAGATGATGATGATGATGATGAGGTATATCAATCGACTCACCTCTCCAGTATAATGTCACCAGAATGACTAATTAAGAGTCGACTTAACGTGTTTTTATATAAAACCTTATCGAGTTAGCACTTAAACGTCTTTGTAGGCCTATCTAAAGTCCCGACCTTTTGGCAAAAATAAGATTAGAATATTTTTCCTGAGTATTTTAGATGCTTATTCCAGAAAGAAAGACTTAATATTTACCCATAAATAAAATATAAACGGTGTACCGTTTACTTCGTAAAGCTGGTTTTAGAATCGCGCTGACCGCTCGCTGATCGTCGGCGCTGACAAATCAAAATGTATGTAATTAAAGGGAACGTTCCTGAGTGACGCCGATCGCTCGGCGCCGACCCTTCAAACTTAATGATAATATTTTACTAATGACTAATATTATTAATGCGAATGCAATGATCGTTTTGCAATGACCTGAATTATATACATTGTCGGTAACATAGTCAGGCCTGGCTCACTCCGCGCGGCACATCCGATAGTTACCTACAGCGAAGCGCCCCGCCGGCGGGTATTATATCAGTCGAGTGTCACGCGCGCGCCCGTCAGGACGCTGGCGTGCGTTGTATTATGATTATAATTCTATGATCGAAGTATTATTTAAAAATGGACATAAAGAGAAAGAAATATTGTGCGGCGTTCGGGTGTTTAAATTCGAAAAGAAATCTACCGGATTTATCTTTTTTTTTTCGCTTCCCAAAGATGCTGAAAGGTATGTTGGCCATGTAGGTAATCAATAATTCTTAGGATAGTATAGGAACCTAACCTACTATGACTACTGCTCAGAATGCGTTCGTTCGTTTCAGCCAAATGACGTCCACTGCTGGACAAAAGCCTCTCCCAAGGTTTTCCATAATGAATGCATACTTACCTACATACGTACCTCATTACAAATAAGTAGATTAATTATTTTTTCACTAGACAGCAACCCTAACAGCGTAAGAAGAGTTCAGAGGCACGCGATAGAAAGAGACAAAACTTGTAGGTGAATAAAATTGTAGGTACGTAGTGCTGTGCGAGCTGAATTCCACTGTATCGCGTCGTAGCAAGACTCGCATTTATTTCAATCGTCTTGCGGAGTAATCCTTCTGTACCTGTACTATTACTTATTCTGTGACATAGTCACCCTTTCGCGCCTAGTCTCATAGTGATAAAAAGTTGTATTTAATTTATCAGTAGACATAATACTTATCATTTTAGTGGGAACTGCTAAAAAGGTAGGTCGAGTTCACTATGCTTTTCTTTCATTTGATTTATCAAGTTTATTTGTGAGTTCTCATCCTAATTATTAACGGCATGTATTTAAATGATATTTTTAAAATCTAAATGGTCATCTATTTTAATGATTGATCCTCTTTCTTTGAGACCTAAAATAAATGAAATCGATCGATATGTTACGGTCAAAGTGATAAATGTGAAAATTATGAATAATCGCCGGTTATTATGAATAATTACCGCATTGGTATTGGTATGATTTGGTTAATGTGATTAATATGAGGTCATTTATGTGTGTATAAAACTAAATAGGCGGCTTAGGGGTGGCCCAAGGGCCACCCCCGCCGCACCTTAACCTATTTTTCACTTTAAATCAAAACAATTTGTTATAGGCATCATGGAAAAGTAATATTATGCAAGAAACATTCCAAACTCATTATGCCAAATTATATTAATATATGATATCAAAACGTTCAAAAGTTTGGCTGTACACGAGCATGTGGGTACACAAGATGTTGTTCTCTTTTATGAAATTTGTTAGTACTAAGGTTGAATTATTAAATAATCACTGTTAAATGTGATTAATTTATCACTTTTACCGCGACTGTCGGTAATTATTCATAATAACCGGTTATTATTAATAATTTTCAATTTATCACATTAACCGTAACAGATATTTTAACCTCTTTTGAACTACGCAAAAAAAAATTGAAATGTAAAAATTATATCTGATCGTTACTTGTTGGTCCTCAAAAATAAGAGAAATGAGCACCAAATATTTAATATTGTGATACTTTTTTAAATAATTCGATTTGTACAAATATTTTTTTTGTATAAATGAAATAATCTTCAAAATAATTATGTTATAAGGTACTTATTTTTATTAAGTTGTAGTCAAAGGAAGGAAACTATTTAAAGGCTTGATGTTCAAAGATTTATTTTTTATTAAAAAAGCATACTTAACACGTTCACACTGCGTTATCGGGTCGAATTGACCTTAGGTGCTGGATGCGTTGGTGCGGGATGGATATATTCGGTCTTTTCGGTAGTACGAAAGATAACATATTGTTTTGCAATTGTTTCGTCAAACACAGTAAATATTTGGAAAAAAAAACTTATTAGGTCCTTACGACCCGATGTCGCACTAAAAGTACCTAAACAAATATCGTTTAGTGCTTTTATCGTGTCTAATCGACCCGTTGACAGACTTTATGGTCACTGATCACGGTCGAGATTGGTATACTAAGAGAAAATCAACCTTGCGATTTGAAAAAAAAATAAAGAGGTAAAAATTATGATGTCGGGTTCAGGGATGACAGAAGTAAGTAATTATTTTACATAGCGCCTCTAGTCCCAAACTAAGCAAAGCTTGTAATTTAAACAAACATGGCAATGTACCATTCTGCTTGCTTATTGGCCGCTAAGCGCTTGGCCAACTCAGTACCAATCAGACGGACGATTGTCACTCAATCACAGAGTACCGCGTAAATTAAAAGATATTTTTTAATTAACCATATTAACCAATAATATTTTTAGTTAGATCAAATATATTTTAAAGTTAAGTTATACATAGATCGAAATGTATTTATTAGGTGATCAATATTAAAAGGCAAACTTGATATAAAAATCATCAAATTAACAAAATTAAAGATCAATAACTAAAAAAAGAGGATCAAATATTATTTTTGTTTACCAAATATTAAAAGAGTATGTTATTAAACATAAATATTATGTTACCTTAAATGAAGATCATTCATAATTTATCCGTAGATCAACTAATATAGACCCAATAATTAATATAAAGATAAAATATAAATAAATACATTATTTATTTTTAAAAGTGCACGTACAAAAAACATCAATTAGTTTTTAGAGGAACAAATAATGTAATATTGTCCCTATTTAAAAAACTAGCGGCCGCCCGCGACCTTTTACGCGTGGATCCTGTTTTTTTCCCACTAACTCCCGTTCCCGTGGGAATTTTGCAATATCCTGTTGTGACTAAGCTTTAAGTTTACTAAGGTACCTGCATGCCAAATTTCGAGCGTCTAACTTAAGCGGTTTAGATTTTTCATACAAAAGGATTTTCCCGCTAATTCCCGTTCCCGTGGGAATTTCGGGAATCCCTTTCTTAGTGCACCTCTACGGTACTTAAGCTACGTCCCTTCCAAATTTCAAGTGCCTACGTTTAGCCGTTTAGGCTGTGCGTGATATGTCAGTCAGTCAGTCAGTCAGTCTCTCCTTTTATATACTTATTTAGATTTAGATAACTCATTTGTTACAATCCTAATGTTTTCCACATTGAGTAGGGTGACCTGACCATATCGGTTTAAGTACTTGACCTCCCGAGAGTTGTGAGAGATAAAATTAATTTGAAAGATGTACCAAATACAGTTTATGTAATAAACAGATACTACAAATTGTTAAGCGGTTTCATTAAGTCCCGATAATATTGGTAGAGGACATGGTAACAGCAAAGAAGAATAACCAGTTATTTATTAGGATCACTCAGTCCACACGTACATAAGAGAATATTGTTTTACACTGCTATTTTGTGCTAATTTCCTACTACTTCATCAATTTCCACCTTTTTAAGACCTTGATACAATCTACTACCCATTCGCGCTAAGTTTGCCGGTCCGTGGAATGCTCGTCCCCTCCCCCAACCGCGATTAAACGCAATTAGTTAGCGATTAAACGCAATTAAGTGTCTTATTTTACGCAAATACACAATTTTTATCAATATGAATAAATAAAAAATATTTTCAATATAGTTTCCTATAGTTATAGACGCTTTCCTTCGAGTGACGTCATATCGCCAGCGGCAAACTTATCGCGAACGGATAGTAACCAATTTAAACTCATTATTTCCGTTTCACTAATTTTTTTTTTCTTTCAGGCATAATGACTCTTGCCACCATAACGATTCTTCTGCTGGTGGGTTTGCTCACAGCCGAGTGTTTTACAGTCGACAAGAACTGGTTCAATGAAAACTCGGTCGTTTACACCGGTGAGAATGAGATCACGAAGATATCTGTCCCAATGATATTTAACTCCATGAAAAATGATGGCAGTTTTGACCTCTACGTCTTCTTTATAGAAGCACAGAAGGGGCTGTACGTGTTAAAGAATCAGAAAGTCACTAAGCTTTTCGCAAACGGGGCAGATGTCGCCGAATCTTCGAATGGCACCGTCTACTTGGCAGCAACAGACGGCATTTACACCTTCAACGCTGAAAAGAATACAGCAGAGAAGTACGGATCTTTGACAGACAACGTCATCAGCATTGCAGTGGCTAATGGGACACAGGAAATCTACATCATAACTAAAGATAAAGTCCTCTTTAAAGTCACTGATGAAGGCAACAGTAAAGTAGAAATTACTGAAGTTAAAGACGCGGTTGATATGGTGTTCGATTTGTTCAGCAACCTGTATTTTGTCGACACCAAAAAGCAGGTATTTGTCAGAAGCCATGATGGCAATGTGACTAAAGTGACGGGGTTGCCAGAGAATCCTTCAGTTGTAAAGTTGTTCAGAGGTAAAAGTTATGCAGCACCTATTTTTGTTGACGACAAAGTGTACGTAGTTAATTTCGATGGAACCACTGAGTTCCATAATACGACCTTCTCTATTTCACCTACTGCTGTATCTTTTGAGACCTGTTTGTTCCACTTAGCACGCAACAAGAAAATATACAAGTACGGGCTATGTGGCTAATAAAAAGTTACAGCAATTAGTTTCATTGTTATTTAATTTATATTAATAACATTTATACAACGTGCTCCTTTTGTTTTCCGGAAAATTTAGGGGTGTATTCTATAAATAAAAACTAGTTAAAGAGTCTTAGGAATATGTGTTTTTAAAACCATGTTTTTGAAGATATTGTGGATTCTAGATTTAGAAGATACCTAGATGATTTAGTATCATCAATTTAGTTTTTTTTTTCAAAATTGTCACCTAGTCTTTTTGTGCAGACTTTTTATTGATAAGTGTGTGTATGTAAATTATGAATTATTTTAGTGAAAAATTAAGTTTTTAAATAATTTCGTATGAAAAAATAAGTCGAAAAAATTTTTTGAATTTAACAAAAAATGTAATGCCATTCCATTTTTTGAAGTGATCTTATTAATACCCTAGAGTTCCAGGAAATCAAAAAGAGCACGTTGTATACGTTGTTTTTTTAATGTAGGTTATTTAATATTTAACTAAGTCTCATAACGGGTATAATCTTAATTTTTTTTTGACAACTTAAGTTATTAGTGACTACAGTTTTGTATTCATTGTAATAACAATGTATGTATTGTGTATTCTTTTTTGTTGTTGTTTGAATTTACTATAATGTTATATTAAACTTTCTTGTGTGATATAATTCTTCTAATTTAATTTGACATAAAATATGAATGACAAAATCTATATTTGCATGTAAAACAATGTACTTTTTCATTCAATGTAGGTACCTACAAAATGTTCTATTTTCAAATAGATATTTTTTTATCATTAACTTCAGATTATTAAAGTAAAAGTTTAAAATCGCAATTGGAAAGAAAGTAAGAAAGCAAAATAAATACACTCGGCGTCAAATAAATCGCACCTCCCGCAACAATAACTTTAAAGATTTTCTTCTGACACAATCATGGTGCCCCACCAATATTGGTGTTATTTTAAAGCCCAATAAATAAACATAAAGAAAAACACATTACATTTTTTTTTATAAACAATGGTATCATAAATGTGACTTGAAAACGTGCCTCACTTTGGGCACACCTCTGGGACCAATTAGATCATTTTCTGTGGTTATAAAACCAATCAGTGATCTCACGTGTCCTCTTTAACAGATGGATAAAGGATGGATATAGGTTAATCCCAATTTAACAGCTTTATAACCATAAAAGTTAGCTCAAGCGTAACTACCTGTTGCTTTATAGTAGGCGCACACCGTTGATTTTTCGTCGGCCGATAGTTTAGTCGGGCAGTTGATCAGTATGGGCAATGGGCATGTATGGGAGTGCGCACACTACGCCGATTCGATTTGGCCGATTCTACATACAAATTAAAATCGGGCACAACTATCGGCCAACTAAAAATCAACGGTGTGCGCCTACTCTTAAGAAGAGACACTGTATCCTTCTAAAGACACGTTTTTGGGGAAAAAACCTTTCCTTTAATGAAATGAAGTTTTCTAAACTTGGCTTTCAAATGGTACCAATCATGGAGGGAAGTGGGGATGTATACGTTTAAAACTGCTTGTCGCAGGAGGTGTGATTTATTTGACTTCGAGTGTAGTTGTTGGGTATGAACAGCCTCAGTAATTCATTGAATAAGCCAGTCATGTTAAGCCTGCCGTGTAGTAGTTTGAGGATAGAAACAATTTGTTGCATAGACCTCCTAACTTCCAACGAGTTGTACCCAAGACACCCAATGATAAACGACTTGACTACTTAAGGTCCTATGTCCCCTAGATGGGGCAGAGGGCGTCCACAACAGTCCTCCATCGCGTTCGGTCTTGAGCTTCGCGCTTGATCTCGCTCCAGGTCTTACCGATTTTCTTCGCCTCGTCTGCTACAGTGCGCCTCCAAGTTTGCTTGGGGCGACCACGTTTGCGTTTTGTATTTTTTGCATAGTGATGTGATGGCCCTTAATGCTAAGGAGTTGGAGAATAATTCTTAAAATATTTAACTTTCAGGTTTACAGGTTATTAAGGTGAGCTCATGATGGAAGGTAAAACTTCGTAGGTTAGGTGATACTTTTTAGCTGTCGATATTTCAAGTAAACCTTACACTCAACATGGAAAAATATAGTCTCAATGTACTTAGGTACTGTCCAACTCAGGTGGCAACAACAAGTACTAGTGCTCAAGCTTAAATTAATTAAGCAAAATTTGTATGGGATAACGTGATTCCTTCGTCCAATCTACTTACTTCAAAATTTGCATAAACATTATTTAACAGAATTAATGGAAGACGTGTTTCGTATTTTATTAAAATGCTTCCCCTAACTATGTTAAAAAGGGGTAGAAAGTTATTTTACTGGTGATTTGCTTCAAAGTTGAAATCAATCCCTCCGTTGTGCATTTTTGATGGCCAGTATATAAGGGTTCCTTTTCAGGACTACGGAACCCTAAAAATGGTAAATGAAAATGATAAATAAAATTAATGATTTATATGCATTTGAAAAGTGTTCATTTATATAGAAAGAAAAAATAATTTATTTGGTTCCAACACAGTTTAAAACAATATCAGATACTATTTGACAGAATTTATTGAACCAAAGTGGCACCCAATCAATTTGGGCTTGGGCATGTACAGTTGCTGTTTGTGTGCGTGTGTGTATGTGTGTTGGTCTCTGTGTGTGTGTCCACGTAGATCAAGCAGCTGTCAGGCGAAGTAGCAGTAGCCATATTAAAGGAGTTGAAATTTGCGAATTCACAGGTCCCATTAAAATATACTCTGTACATGATGTTGTCTATAAAAAGAGAGACGCTCATACTACTACCGACACCATTGATCAGCTTTACAACTGTAGGATTCTCTGGCAACCCCTTCACTTTAGTCACAATACCATCAGTGCTTCTTACAAAAACCTGCTTTTTGCCGTCGACAAAATACAGGTTATTCATTCCATCCAACGCCATCCCAAGCGCGTCTTTTACATTAGCGATTTCAACTTTACTATTTCCTCCATCAGTAACCTTATAAAGGACTTTTTCTTTAGTTATGATGTATATTTCTTCTGTACCACTAGTCACTGCGATGCTAATCACGTTGTCAGTCAAAGAACCGTACTTCTCTGCTATTCTGTCTTTAGCTTTGAAGGTGTAAATGCCGTCTGTCGCTGCTAAGTAAACTTTGTTGCTGTTGTCCATGGTGGCGGCGATATCAACTACATTTGTAAGAAGCTTCGTGACCTCACCATTCTTCTCCACGTACAGTCCCTTTTGAGCGTCAATATAAAATAAGTATTTGTTATCTGTATCCTCGTTGAGGGTCATCGAGTTTATTCGGGACAAGATAGGGAACGCCAGTAATAAAATAAAAGAAACTTGGAATGTTATCAACCGAGAGACTGGTAAAGTAAAACCAAGAGATAATGACTTTTCTCTCAAAGTTCACGATAATTTGATATCTGCAGATAAAGATGTAGCGGAAGCTTTTGACAATTTTTTTGGGAATATAGCTTCAGCAACAACTGCCAACTTAAAGTCATCTCCCTCCGAGGCCGAAGAAATATTGAAAACCCACGTGACACCCTGTGACTCGCACTTCTCTTTTAAACATATTACTCCATTAGATATCACTAAAACTTTTAATCTTTTAAACGTAAAGAGTACAACTGATATCTGGGGCATCTCTGTCAAGATAGTCAAACACATTATTGATATAATTTCCCCACAGTTAGCGATAATATTCAATAATTGCATAGAGAAGGGAATCTTCCCCGACCTCATGAAACATAGTAGACTAATGCCATTATTTAAGTCTGGTAGCAAAACCGACCCTGGCAATTATAGACCCATTTCTATCTTGCCCGCTCTGAGCAAGATTTTTGAAAAAATCATACAGGAGCAACTTATGATTCACTTTGGCTCTAATAAACTGTTTCATAGTGAACAATATGGTTTCACCAAGGGTCGTTCCACCACCGATGCAGGGGTTGCACTACTTAAACATATCTTCGAGGCTTGGGAGAATTCTCAAAATGCACTAGGGGTCTTCTGTGATCTCTCAAAAGCTTTTGACTGCGTAGAACATCAAACGCTAATTCGCAAACTGCACTATTATGGGGTAAAGGACTCGGCTTTGGATTTAATACAATCCTATTTAAACTTTAGAGTTCAAAAAGTTGACATAAATGGTGTTTTGTCTTCTGGGTCACCTGTGAAAATGGGAGTTCCGCAGGGGTCCATTCTGGGTCCATTCTTGTTTCTTATATACATTAATGATCTACCATATTTTGTTAAGGACTCTTGCGAAATCGTGTTATTTGCTGATGACACATCTTTGATTTTTAATATCGATAGAAGTAAAAATAACTTTGACGATGTAAATAATGCACTAACAAGAGTTTTAAGTTGGTTCACTACAAATAATTTACAACTCAATGCAAAGAAAACAAAATGTATAAAATTCTCTTTGCCTAACGTAAAAACAGTTAGTACTCAAATAGAACTTAATAATAATGCAATCGATCTGGTAGACTCTACTGTATTTCTGGGAATTACCCTGGATTCAAAACTCCAGTGGGGCCCCCATATAGAAACTCTGGCGGGAAAGCTCAGCTCAGCGGCTTTTGCAATAAAAAGGATACGGTCATTAACCGATGTTTCAACAGCTCGCTTAGTCTACTTTAGCTACTTTCATAGCCTAATGTCATATGGAATCATGCTATGGGGCAAAGCTGCAGATTTTGAAACAATATTTATTTTGCAAAAACGTGCGATAAGATACTTGTATAAAATGAAAGCAAGAGCATCCCTTAGAGAATTGTTTAAAGAAATTGGCATTCTCACGGCCGCTTCACAATACATCTTAAACTGTATTCTATTTATTCAAAAAAATATTACTGAATTCAAAAAGAAAAGTGATATTCACCAAATTAACACTAGAAATAAAAATAAATTGGCTATACCCGCTTTTAGACTTAATAAAGTGTTTGCCACTTTTATGGGACAAGGTATCCATTTTTATAACAAAGTCCCTGATAAATATAAAGAGCTACCGTATAATAAATTTAAAGATATAGTTAAAGATCACATGCTTAAAAAAGCCTATTATACAACTCGAGATTTTCTTAATGATAAGTCATCCTGGGAGTAGGATTATGGTCCTCTCATGCTCGCACTAAAAAGAATTAAAATGAAAAGTAATGTATAAACTAATAATAATTTCTCAAATGTTATAGTGTCATGCTTCTCAATCTGGACTGTTACTTAGCTTTATTATTATTTTTTTTTTTTAAAGAGATAACTTGGAATTGTCATTCTCACTAAAATGTCTCTGGGGTGGTGGCGTAGTGAGGCGGGTCGTTACATTCCCTCTAATATGGTCGAGTGAAGCGATGGCTGGTTCACTCGTCATGTCTGTGAACAGGCGCTGCTTTCGGGGACTGGTCAATCCAAGTTATTCAAATTTATGTATGCGAGTCATTTCTACTAGTATCTTAATATGTAAGTCTAGATATTAGCACGTCACTACCTTGTTTAATATACCACGCAATCTTGTATACCCATTCTTATAAGATACACCATACAAGAATGCATGGTAAATTCAGTGAACTGCTCCTGAATCGAATGTACCTACTACTACTATTTATATTTATTTATATTAACCGGCAGACAGTGGTGACTGAGTTTGTTGCGGCGCTTCTTCTCAGCACTTGCCAAATGTTGGTCTCGAAGCGCTGGTAGGGTAAAAAGATTATGAGACATGTAGAGGCTCCTTAAGAGCAAAATGACGATTTGTAAGAACTATTTATTAGTCTAAACAAATAAAGAAATTTTGACTTTGACTTTGACTTAATGGGACCACGATCTTCATAATATAATTCTTTCGCGGGTAAACCACTGCATCTTCATTGTTAAGGTCATTGTTGACGCTGGAACTGTGCACAGCTGTGACCAAGCCCACCAGCAGAAGAATCGTTATGGCGACTTGTGTATTCATTATGCCTGAAAAGAAGCAAAATCTTAATTAGAAGAAGAATCAATTTGTAGTTATTGTGAATGTATTAAAGTCAAGGAAAAACAAGGTGGATAAGTGTAATATTTAAGAAATTGCTCCGAAATAGGTTATTTGTTTAATAATTGCAATTGAACTTTTTTTATGGGACTTTTGAGATGTTCACCTTCTAACTAATCTGAATAAAGTCACGAAGTCAGAAATTGTGTTCCACGTATTTCCCTATATTTATAATACTTTATTGAGTGGATTAAATGTAATTTTAAATAAATAAAGAACATAACGACTTACCTTTTTAGCAGTAGCCAAAGTGATGAGGATTACGTGTGCAGACGAATTAAATACTAAATTTTATCACTGATAACGATGTCATCAAGTTTTTTTTGGGGGCACGGAAGTGTCCCCGCCAAGATGAGCCGTGCGAAGAAGAATCTTTTCTCGAAGCATTTCGTCGGTTTTTTGGGTTTTGGGGTTACCTCCGCCATATTTATATTTTGTGATATGGCCACATATCGAATAACAAATGATCGAAAATCTAAATATCGAACACGTATCATCGAACTATCAAAATATCGAATTTACAAATGATCGAACGTTCATAATATCGAATTTACAAATGATCGAACGTTCAAAATATTGAATGATTGAAATATTGAAAATCAATATTTTAGAGGTTTTAATTAAATTTCATTTATTATTATTGTAAATAAAACATAATTCATATACACATTTTTTTATTTCCCACTTTAGGGTGCCGTTAGTCAACAAGGAACCCTTACCTCCATCTTCCTATTAACTATAGTGACATAAGATCAACTTTCAATATTTTAATCATTTGTTTATTTTGATGGTTCGATCATTTGTAAATTCGATATTTTAATCGTTCGATGAAACGTGTTCGATATTTTGATTTTCGATCATTTGTTATTCGATATGGCGGAGGTAACCCGTTTTTTTGGACCCTCATAATTTGGTTTTGAATTTTACCAGATTTAAACAATGTTCTCGGGATATGATATCAATAGTAAAGTTATGCATTATAAAGTTTCAATTGCATAACTCTTTGGATTTTAGACCACAGAGGTGTGTAGAGTTAGAAACTTGAGATCTGATTATTTATTTATAGTGTGAGCCATGAAATGGTCTAAATCTTGGCTACATTTTACATAAAAATATATTTCGTAGGATTTTATTATCATTCAGACCTTTGACACTGAATCGATTATTTTTTTATAGATTTACCTGTTTTTTACCGTCAGACAAAATATCACCTTGTTATGACGTGACTATGATACAGTGTGAGTCACGTTAAAGTGTACATAATAATATGAAAATAGATGAAACTAGACCTATTTTTATCGACAAAAAAAAGGTCAAAAATTTTTTGAATAAAAACCACCGGTTATAGGGGCATTTTTTAGAGAAATTTATTAAATAACCAAAAAAAACACGAATTTAAAAGCAGATTTTTTTCAAAAAGTATCATTTTTTATTATTTGTTGGCCTTTTTTGTGTATTTTATGTATTTTTTTAGGATTACTAATGTTTGGCCAAAAAACGTTTCCCAAATTATCACATGGCAAACAACGTTTCGCAAATTTTCATTTGGCAAATTCTCATTTGGCAAAACAACTTATTGCAAACTTTTAATTCGCAAATGTCTTTTTTGGCATATTATTGTTTAGCAAATTATTGTTTGGCAAAGTATGTTTTGCCAAATGTTTCATTTGGCAAAAATATTTCACGATAAATTATTTACAAAATAATTTGATTGGTGCATAGAATGGAATACAAATTAGCTTGTGCTTATTATTTTGTTTAGTGGGTAGTTAATATAAAATTTGTTCTAAATTTATTTTCATATTTCATTATTTTTATCGAAACTAAATGATTAATTAACAATAGAGGTGATTCTAGCGCTCGGCGGCCGCTGCCGCGGCACGCTTCGCTCGCCTTCGCGCGTTAAGGGTCACTGTTCTAACCTAACCTAACCTACTATTTTCTGCAAAACCTACTTTCGCATCCATACTATTTTCTGCAATCTCTTTGTTTTACATAAAATTCTTGTGAAAACCATGATCATTTGCCTTGTGCTTTGATTTGTGGGTAACGGTGGGTAAGCATGTGAAGTGTCAATTTGACCAAATAAATTATTTGGGATATAATATTTGGCAAAATAAAACATTTGCTATATAAACATTTGCCAAGTAAAATTTGACCAAATGATAATTTGACCAAATGAAATAGTTGCGAAAAGTACATTTGCTAAAAGTTCATTTGGGAAATGAAACTTTGGCGATAAGTTGTTTGCGAAGTGAAATTTGGCGAAAAGTAATTTGGCCAAACGGAAGGATACCATTTTTTTAGTATTACCTGTTATTTAGCATTATTATACTGTTTTTTATTTTATCAGGATATACCTTTTAGTTTAAAAGTTATTACGTTTTCTTTACAATAAGTAATTGGAAGAAAAAAAATTCTATAAAAAATTAAAAAAAAAACTTTTGTCGTTAAAAGTAGGTACTAAATAAAATTAAAAATTAAACTGTTTCTATAAAATGAAAACTAATTCAATTTGCTAATTTATTCAGTCAAGTTCTTCGATATTTTGTATAGTTTTCGAGATAGCTCTTCAAAGTTTTGTAAAACATAAACATTTCTGCCTCACATTTTCAAATTATGAGGAAACAAGCTGCCGCTGCTAGGTGGAGTTTCATAAATTCCTTTCTTAGCGGGTGGCTACGTCATAACATCTACCTGCATGTCAAATTTCAGCCCGATCCGTCCAGTGGTTTGGGCTGTGCGTTGATAGATCACTATGTCAGTCAGTCAGTCAGTCACCTTTGAGTTATTATATTTAGATAGTTGCCAATTTACTATTAGACGACAATTTTAGGTACTTTTTGATGATCAAAGAATAAAGGGCGAGTCATAAGTTTTGATGTTTCACGCATTGATAGTGGCTGACTTAGTAATTCAGAGGACAATTATATGTAGATTTTTAGAGGACAAAAATGCTATTAAAAAGAAGCCGGTTCAATTTACACCCTTTAAAATTAGCTTAGACCATTCTTAAGATTCGGTAGTATTAATTTGTTTGTTAATATGAAAGTATGGAATCGAATGATTTGTTTTTCATCAAGGCACGAAAATCTTCACCAAAACTTTTTCTAATTTATTAAAATGCTTAAAACTAGTTTCTGGTTAAAACATGAACTAATCATTTTATACTTTGTATTTATATACTTACAAAGTACAACAAAGCAAACACAGAACATAGCATGAATAAAAAAACCAGTTCAACTTAAAATAAAAACTTTTATTCATAAAATCAGATAACTATCCGAGTTACACATTTTATAAAGATTACATAAACATATCAAAAATCTTATTTTCACAATTTAGCAGCTAAGGCAACGTTATGGTACAATCATTAATAAAATGATTTACCTACACAAAAATATCATAAAAAGGATTTTCACAAAAATGTCTAGCGTCAGCCATGTCGCTTGAGATTTTTGTTTAAAAAAATTTGGTCCTCAAAAAAATTAATCTAATTTTTTTTGTTAAAAGTCTAAGTGAATGACGCTCCTTGTACTGGTCTATTAACAAATGTAAATCAGTTTTTTTTTGGACAATGCAGTAGATTTGGGCAATATATTTCTACCACATTCACCAAAAATCGCAATAAAATTTATTTATCATAAAATATAATTTGTATTGTCAAGTAAATATTTTAATTTACACAATATAATTTTTATCTGTTCGTGTAAATTCATAAAACTTTTATATTTCTGAGCGTAAAAGAGAAAAAGCTCATTGCAAAGCTTTGCTAAATAAAATATATAATTGCAAAATAATAATATTAAAATAATATTAACAACTAAGGCAGTTTTGATTCCTTTTTGTATACTTATTAATTATATTATTTTATAAAAAATACTGTGTGTGGAAAGGAATGTATTTTATTGTTAATTATGTTCGATTTTGTCTCAAAATATTAAAAATAAATAAGTTTCAGAGTATGTTCAATATTTTCAAAGTGATTAACTAATAAATATAAAATTCGAGAAAAATAACAATTTGGCACCCCCTCCATAGGCCATTTTGTTTTTATTTATTTACTTAGGCTTACGCCATATTTATTTAGGAAAAAGCTGCATTAAACTATAATTTAAAATTAAATAAAAATGTGTTCTTGAGAGTTATTTTTCAATGATCTGTTTAAAATTAATTCAATAACACAATATGGCTTTTCAGACAAACAAAAAAACTTTGTACTAAATAACATAGCCTTCAAATGTATGTTGATTTTCTAATCTGAATTCTTAGCAGTTGAAATTATGTCGTTATATCAAATTACAGTATTTGTAAATTGTTTGCTTGAATAATATTTTTAAACACAAGTCTCTTTTTATACAAAGCAACTTTAACAATCTGGTTAACGTAACCGCACTCTTATTAATGTAAAAGTGCTAGTTTAGTAGCTAGATGCATTTTACATAAATTGCAGTTCCGATAATGAACGTTGAACTGATCATCCTTATCAAAAAGACTGTATTGGCAAACATTATTCATAAAAATGCCTAAAAAGAACTCTAAAATTGAAGAAAACAGTAAAAAAAATAACAAAAAAAGAAAGAAAAACAAAGAAAAAACGGGAAAATAAAAAAAACTAAAGAAAAAACGGGAAAAATACAAAAAAAGACAAAAGAAAACAGAAAAAAAAACAAAAGACCATCGAAAAACAACTGCGGACGAACACAAACAGCGTCGGGCTCACTTCGTGTGGACCAAGTTGAGGAACTCCTCCCTCGTCTTGGGGTCGTCGCGGAAGACTCCGAGCATGGTTGACGTCACCGTCTTGCTATTGATCTTCTGAACCCCTCGCATCACCATGCACATGTGCCTGGAAAGACGGGATAATCAACTTAATGAAATTTTAAGTATAATAATCTATATAAATAAAAATGAATTGATGTTCGTTAGTCTGATTATAACTCGAGAACGGCTGGGCCGATTGAGCTGATTTTGGTTTTAAAATGTTTGTCGTAGTCCAGGGTAGGTCTAAACGGTGAGTAAATACGCGCGCGATATTGTTTTTTTGTGACAGACAAAATTCCACGCGGGCGAAGCCGCGGCCGGAAAGCTAGTAAATAAATAAATATCCTTGGACATTTTACACTGCGCTTCTAGTCCCAAACTAAGCAAAGCTTGTAATATGGGTACTAGACAACGGATATAAACATATTAAAATACTTTTTTTTTTGTAAATACATACATATAATTATACAAAGAAAACACCCAGTCCAATACAATCAAATAATTATGTTCATGCACATAAATGTTTATACTGTGCGGGAATCGAACCCGCTACCTCCGGAATAGTAGTCCGTTTCGAATCACTACACCAAACGGCCGACAGTTTAGGCTTGATCATAACTGTATCCTTAAAATTTGCCTCCTGTCCTTTAAGTACTCCTACGCTATTGGGTACGGGTAGTACCCAACTTTAAGTATATACGTTTTGGGGCGCTTTTACCAGCTGACCGAATATCACCGAGCTCTTAGGGAAGGAGTATTTTGTACTTACGCGGCTTAGGAAGACCGCTTAAAAGATGGAAGATGACATCCAGCAACAAGCTGGAATAAACTAGATGCAAGTGGCCAGGGACACGGGACTATTCCCACCTCTCTTTCCCACCACTGCAACTCCTGTGTAGCCAGGATCTACAGCTTGACCGCCATAAAAACCCAATTAATGAAGGTCAAGTTTGTCCAGGGGAAAGTTAAACTGTCATTGGACCCGCAACGAAATTAATCAGAAGAACATAGGAGGAGTTCGAAATTAAGGTTCGACTTCCCTCCATTGCAAAGCGGATGACAGGTGACAAACAAAGGTGTAAAAACTTTAAGAAAAGATTATGCACCACTGACAATAAATATCAATTAAGTGGCCAGGGACAGAAGTCGGTGGAAGGTTGAAGAGGAGGCCTATGCTCGAAGACGAACCCCTAAGGCTGCTATAGACACTTATATAGGGTGTTAGGTAAATGGGTATATGAGCCGAGACTAGCCCATGTTAACATAGGCATATAAATGGTATGGTGAAGTCAGAAAATTGATATCTTCATTTTAATTATTTTATTTTTCATACAAATCGGATTTTATAAAATTAATTTTGTATGAAAATTTAAAAAAATAAAATGATGATATCAAATTTCTGACTTCACCATACCATTTATATGCCCATGTTAACATGGGCTAGTGTCGGCTCATATACCCATTTACCTAACACCCTGTATAAATTTTATACTTACACTCCTTCAATGACGACGGCAACGCCCGCTGGACGGACGGCTTGGGTGACCGCGATGGCAATTTGTTTGGTCAGGCGCTCCTGCACTTGAAGGCGCCGGGAGAAAATCTCAACGATCCTGTGGGAAGATTGGATAGGATTAGCATTTTAAATACAAACTAGCGACCTGCCCGGCTTCGCACAGGTGCTACTGCTATGTATAATATACATTAAACCTTCCTCTTGAATCACTCTATCTATTAAAAAAACCACATCATAATCCGTTGCGTAGTTTTAAAGATCTAAGCATACATAGAGACAGACATCAGACAACGAGTTTGTTTTATACTATGTAGTGATTAGTACTATCCCTCGCCTCGTGGTAAGCTAAAATGCTTGTGTTACGAGTGTTTTCACCACAATAGCTCAGCGGCGGGATTCGAACCCACGTTCCTCGGATCTCGAGTCGGGCAGCCCGACATCGACGCCATTGGACTATTGTCGCTCCCTCACCTAGGGGCCGTCCAAGTATTACNGTTCCGCCTTAATGGCAATAAATAAGCAGACTTTTTTTTTTATTTCGAACGGGATAAAAAGTATCCTATGTCCTTTTCCTGGCTCTAAACTACCTCCCTGACAATTTTCAGCTAAATCGGTTCAGCCGTTCTTGAGTTATAAGTGGTGTAACTAACACGACTTTCTTTTATATACTCTCAAATTTCAATGGGCAATGTCGGCACGAGAGTTAATTATTAGACAAGTGAATAGCGCACGGTAATTTCCCTAATGTGCGGTAATTCCCATAATCAGTTCTCAAAGCGAGTGCCTACGCATATGTATTATTTGCGGGAATCCCCGAAAAAACGTAAATAACTAACGATGACGTAATCATCATCTAGACCCCCCTACCCCCCATGTCATCAAAATAAGCAAAACAGAGAATTGGTGCTTACGTAATACTTGAACGGCCCCCTATCGGGGACTTTGATGCGCAAGCGTAGTTTACACTTGGGTAAAATTATCTTAGGACCACAGGATTGGCCGAGCCTGTGACACTTGCCGGGTAGGACTAAATTCTTCTTCTTGTCGTGTCGACAACAAACCTACATAGTGTCAGCCCAAAACTCCGCCACAAGAGTGGCGTTTTCAGCAGCATTCATTAAATCCTCCTGCGTGCAGTTGTTTGGGCACGCAGGGCATGACATTAAGGCTGGCTTGCACCATCTTACTTTAACTTTGAAGAACGTCAAAAACCTGTCAAATCTCATACAAAAGACACCGGTTATCGTCATAGTTACGGTCAAAGTTAGGTGGTGCAACTCAGCCTTAGTAGTTCATCGACTGGTGAACAAAATCACACTTGCACTCCAAGTTTGAGCCATCCAAGAATCCGCACTTGAACAGATTGGACTGAATAATAATGTAAAGTAACACAAAATCATTAAAAATAACACCTAGCTATGTTCTTTGTTCGAGTTTTTTTTTTGTGACAGGAGGCAAACGAGCAGATGGATCACCTGATGGTAAGTGATTACCGTCGCCCATAGACACCCGCAGACCCAGGGGCGTTACAGGTGCTTTGCCGGCCTTTAAGGTGAAGATACGCTCTCCTCTTGAAAGCTTGCAGGTCGTAAAATCAATTTCCACTTGGCATTAGCACAAATAAACCCAAAGAGGTCAGGAGGATTTGATGAGTGCTGCTGACAACGCCACCCTCGTGGCGGAGTTTTGGGCTGACACTGTGTAGGTTTGTTGTCGACACGAAAAGAAGAAAAAGAATAGGTACTTCTTCTTCTTTTTGAGAGAGGTTTGATTGCCAAAACAAAAGAAGGAGAAGAATTTCCTTACCTAGCCAGCTTGCTAAGCCCCAAGATCTTGCCCTGGGGCAGATACCCGATGGACACCTTCCCGTAGAAGGGGACCAGATGGTGCTCACACATGGAGAACATCTCAATATCTTTCACGACCACCATCTCGTCGGTGTCCTCGTCGAAGATGGCGTTGTTCAGGACCTCTGCAAGAAAAGACAAAAATAAATCTATATTATCTATACACTATACCACTGGTGGTCCCTGGAGGCATTCCTAGTGGTCCACGAAGTGCACTTGCACACCTTGGTCAAAACCACTTTTAACAGATTTTTGCAGTCAAAATGGTCCCTCATGTCATGACTTAAAGGTTAAGAACCACTGCTCTATACTAATATTATACGAGTAAATGCGAAAGTAACTCTGTTTGTCTTGCTTCCACGCCTAAACCACTGAAACGATTTTGATGAAATTTGGCTTAGAGATAGTTTGAGTCCCGGGAAAGGACATAGGATAGATTTATCCCGGTTTTTGAAACAGGGACGCGCGCGATAAAGTTTTTCTGTGACAAACAAAATTCTAGGCGGGCGAAGCCGCGGGCGGAAACTAGTAAACAGATATAGCGCCATATAGCCCCATATAGCTTAGAAACGTCACATAAATTAAAATTCATCATTTCATTTTCCGCCCGGCTGGAAATCGAACTCGGGACCTCTTCGGCATTGTAGTCCGTTTTCGAACCACTACACCAAACGGCCGACGTGATCTATATTCTATGATAAGGTGACTGAGTTTCTTCAGCCACTTCTCAGCACGAGCCGAATATTGTCCCGGAGTGGTGGTAGATTTAAGACTTGGTTAAATGTCCTGAAGGACCACACTTAATAATAAAGAACTATTGCCAGGAGAAGAAAGTACAATTCCTCCAAAAAACAAATTGACATCAGCCAATTACTTAGTAAGGGGACGTCAATATTTTTGAGAATTTAATTTATTATCGCGCGCGTACCGGAAAACGCAGCGTGGGACGTCCACCTACAATGTGGACCGACGACATCGTAAAGGTAGCAGGGAAGCGCTGGACGCAGGCCGCTACCAATCGATCAACATGGAAAGCATTGAGGGAGGCCTATGTTCAGCAGTGGACGTCCTATGGCTGAAATGATGATGATGATGATGATTAAAAGTAGAATCATAAATTCATATTCGCATGTACAATAAATTATTGTAGATCCAAAAATTATTCAAAGCAAGGCACAATTAAAATTGGTCTATTAAAGTCCAGACCGGCTGTCAATCAGGAATTACAATTTTATGGGCCAATCATTTTAATCTGTGATCCAGAACTTTGCATGTTTTACGACGAACTGGTTAATAAATTAGCTTTAACCATGTCATTGCCATAGCAATAAAATCATGGCTACTGTGTTGATTTACAGTTTTTCTAGTATACACATTTTGCTACCAAAGTCTACATGATCTTCACTATTTCCGTTATAAAATATAACAACATTGCGAATTCCTTCTAAGTTTTTCCGATTAATTTGGTTGCAGGTCCAATTACAGTTTAACTTTCCCCCGGGACAAACTTGACCTTCACTAGTTGGGTTTTTATTGGCGGCCAAGCTGTAGATCCTGGCGACACAGGAGTTGCAGCGGTAGGAAACGAGAGATAGGAATAGTCACGTTATAACGATCTAGCTTGATCTAAGTCCACCTGGCTAGCTACCACCATTTTACCTTAGTCTGTCGTCACAACCACAGTGTTAACAGCATTGTTGTTTTCCGGCAGTTGGAATAAGATAGCCAGTTCCTCTGTGGTTAAGGATTCTGAGTGAAGCTGACTTCCTCCTTCGGCCTGATAATCACTTTCCATCAGGTGAGATTGTTGTATCCCGGCAGTTGGGGGTAATATAGCCAGTTCCTATGTGATTGAGGATTCCTGGTGAAGCTCGTTTCCACCTTCGGCCTGATCGTCACTTTGCATCAGGTGACCTGCTGTTGACCTGTGTCAAGAGGATAAAAAAACGATGGAAGAACTACATACCTTCCAAACTCTGGTCGTAGCCCTTGGTGAAGAAAAGCATGGCTTTGGCTGCTCTTTCTGGTGTCTTCAGGAGTCCTTGCCTCTCTGGGTCCTCTCCCAATCCTGGAAGATATACAGGTTTTGATTTAGTGACAGTTAAAGATGGGTTTTATCTGTTTTGCAAGAATCAAAGGTAAATATTACTCTAGAATGCTATGGGTAAACCCAAAATTGTAATTTTGGGTATTTAATTTGCTTGATGAGTCGTAAATAGAGAGGTCATTGAGTGTGCTCTACCTTAAAAACTTACATAATTTGGAAATAGGTATAGTAAATGACTTGTGATATACGTAGTGTGTTCGCTAGCGTGAGGGGTGTAGGCCAAATCTTCCATATTGGTAAATTAAAGAGTCGTGTTTCTGTAGCGCTGATTAATGACCTAATGATGATGATAAACTTTGTACTGTATGATCATTGATCAGATCATTGAGGAGGTCTACATTAAAAGCAGGGGACTTCTATGAGTGAGTTGATGATGATGAAGCAAGCTAATGAGGACTTGTATTTAGTGCTTTAAAAAGGGCCTAAATCATCATCACCATCATCATTTCAGCCGCAGGACGTACACTGCTGAACATAGGGCTCTCTGATTACCAGATTGGCCGATTGGTGGCAACCTTCCCGCAACCTTCATCATCTTTCCACCTTGTGGGTGGATTTGAGGTTGATAGGGGCCTACGTACAACCCGGTCGGATTAACTGCGTACCTCGTTGGAATGCCACTCCCCTCGCACTCATCGGCACATCTCGCGTTCGCCCCGTCCGTACTAGGGATGTTATGGATATGTATTTTCGGTTATGGATACGGTTACGGATATAGGAATAATATTATACCGGTATCGGTTACGGTTACGGATATTTTTTTATTTCGGATATCCGAAAGTTTCGGTTACGGTTACGGATATATGTGCTTTAGAATGCAATATGCAATAGTTGTCCAACACGGTTAATTCATGGTCGCACTCTTTACATCGAATAAAAAGTAATATAAAAATAAAAATTGATACTAGATGGCATTATAAAGTTAAATCCGGCTGTTATGCCTTTACATAAAATGCTATACAAAAAACAATTTAAACTGCCTACATCCGAAACTTTTGAATCGGTTACGGTTACGGTTTCGGATATTTTTTATTTCGGATATCCGAAAGTTTCGGTTACGGATATCCACAAAATCCCTGGTCCGTACCAGAGCGTCGATGTGACGTCACGGCCGCCGGGTGCGCAGTGAACTCAAGTGGGTTGTACTAATTAAGAATTTGAATTTATTTACCTGTGAGTAGCAGTCTGTAGGAGTTGGCCATGTCAGGCAGTAGTGCCTCTCTGGTGGGTGGTCTGTGGTCCAGCTCCAGGTCATGGTGGAATGTGCAGTTCTCGTGGCCTGAGGACAAGGGGACATATACCATTAGAGTTGGTTTCTATAAGTATTCCTTGGACATTTTCATGTAGCCCAAACATAGCAAAGTAAATACATTATACAATATAGGTACAATTTTTTTTGTATTATGCGGCATTTGAATCCGCACAAACTCTGTCATAATTAATAGTCATTTACGTAAAAACCAGGTCAGGCTGATGTATACCATAATGCCTATTTATACTTTATAAAAGTTAAAATTAAAACCTACATAATAAATAACATTATTTCTAGGAACTACTAAATTTTTTTTAATAAACTTATTTTTCTAACTACACTCAATAAAGATCACTATAAGGCAAGAGTGAATAGGCACTTACAGGGCAGATATTTTATACCAGCATACTGCTTCTGCAATTGCGGTCAAATACGAGTACCTGCTTATTTTCTGCATAAAAAATCTCTCGTGCCACTTCGTCATTAAGGTCATCAAAGTATAGTAAAACCAATTAAGTATAACAGCAAAACTAAATAGCAATAAAATTTGATTATGATTATTGTCCAATCTCTATGCAAACCACAGAGCAATCAACGTTTATATGTTTTTATTTCGACTAGAGTTATTTATAGGTTGGTAAACTTAATTTAATTTTATTGTAAAGTCCAAAGGGGCAATTTTGTATGGTATTCGATTAGCTACGTCTAGGGTTGCCAGGCGTCCGGATACAGCCGGGCATAGTTAGGCTTTTTGATTGCGTGTTCGGCCAAAATAAACGGTGTCCGGCTTGTCCGGCTTTTGTTAGGCTTTTTACATTTCGTAAATGCGCGAGCCCTTTGTCACCTGTCATCCGCTTTGCAATGAAGGGAAGTCGAACCTTAATTTCGAACTCCAGCTCCTATGTTCTTCTGATTAATTCCGTTGCGGGTCCAATGACAGTTTAACTTTCCCCCGGGACAAACTTGACCTTCATTGGTTGGGTTTTTGTGGCGGATAAGCTGTAGATCCTGGCTACACAGGAGTTGCAGTGGTGGGAACGAGAGGTGGGAACAGTCCCGTAAATGTGCGAGCGCCGATCGTGGCCGAGCGCAGGCGAGTCGACTGTCGGTCGCTCCGCTTTTGTGTTTTTGGACCTGGCAACCCTAGCTACGTCATGTCTGCCCTGAGTGCCCAAGCAACTGCACTCAGGAGGATTTGATGAGTGCTGCTGACAACGCCACTCTTGTGGCGGAGTTTTGGGCTGACACTGTGTAGGTTTGCTGTCGATGGGTCGCGACCAGCGTTGCCAGTTTTTTTTTTCGCCAAGTCGGGACTTTGGTACTTTTTGAGTGAAAATAGCGGGATTCTTCCGTCAGAAGCGGGACATAGTAAAAAAACGTATATAAAATAAAGGTTTTCAAATATTTATCTTTTTATTTGACTTAAAATTACGTTTACGTGACAATAGATAGCAAAAGTAGCCATAGAAAATGTATTTTAACGCGGGACCGAGCCTGTCCCGCGCGGGACATTTAAATTTGATTTAAAAATCGGGACGTCCCGCCAAAATCGGGACGACTGGCAACGCTGGTCGCGACCCATAGTTTGGGTAACCCAACCTTAGATTATTCCAAAGCATGCAACAGGTTATTCTAGTATCTTTGCTACTTAAAAATAACGTGATTATTACCAATTATATTACCTACAATTAACACCTTCGTGAACTTAAAAAGAGGTCAGAATTCTGTTGTTTTGACACGATTTACACAATATTGTATAAATAATTTGATCCCTTGAGAATAAGTAATTGAACTAGAACCTTTCATCATGGAACCAAATATGAAATCACGGTAACATGTTATGATTTTCTATGCTTTATTGTTTAAGTTCGATTAAAATTAATTTATATACTTATTTATTACATCATTTCGCTGTAACAAAATATGTTAGTTCCATTATAACTTGTATGTAGTGTACGTACCTATACTGTAAAGTTATTTCAATATAATGTTTCTATACTATAGTGCATCTCCATTCAGTATTAAGGTATAAACATAAATAACACGAATTTGGCATAATAAATAGTTCTGTAGAATAATAGTTAAAACAGATAAAAAGAAAACAGATTAACTAGCATTACGTTAATGTATTTAACGTGTTATAAAAATCAACTCAGGCTAAAGACTAAAGATGTCATCTATCATAAAAGTTAGGCAAAATAATGCGAACCACACAAACTGGAAAAAAATACAAACCAGGTGTTGTAGAAGTTCTTGGGGTCATGGGCGTTCCTGGCACCTCAAGCTCACTCTCCGCATCAGTCAGGTGGAAGTTCTTCAAAGCCTCCGGCGTCTTCTTGTATTTGCCCACAAAAGATTTTCCCGCGTTCTGGTTTTCGACGCCATTTTCTTTTTCCTCCGAAATCGAATTCCGAATAGAACGCGAGCTCACCCGGCGGATTAGGGAAGACGGCGGCACTACTGGTTCATCTTTTCCGTTGACCGACATTTTTATTTATCCAGTTTTGAATTCGAATTTTGAGTTGGTCTGTTCCTAAAATTTTAGTTTTTTTTTACTGATGAAATAGGTTAGGTTTATTACAATGTATAATTTATACTGACGTTCGATATGGGCGATTGGTTGGACAGCAATAACAATTTGTCGCATTTGACCTATCTCTTCGGAGGTTATCATTGTAATTGGCGAACATTAAAGATACTGTGCCTAATTGATAAGGTAATTACAGTTCACAATTTCTAATGTTATGCAATATAGTAGAAGTATAACAGTTAGACGTTACACAATATTGAATCATTTTAGTTCTAAGTTAATTTATACAGGATGGAAACGATAAGTGATCTCACTCGATTATTTCTAAACTGATCCTGAAAGTGCTTTACGAGCTATATCAAACGGTAGGTATCATTAAAACGCTGGAAAATAAACTGGATCTATTAGAAAAATAAATGTTTTCAGCTTCCATACATTTTAGTAAATGACATTTTAATAATGTTTTCATTAATGATCCTTTTTCCCTGCAGTTTCAGTAAAGATTTGGCGCTGTGGCACTTTACTCATTCTTTAATTCAAAAAATATTAGATAGAACCAAGTTCATGATTGGGTTAAATACGAGTATTTAATCACTAGCAATGATCTTGAAATTAAGTTCAGAAACAGGTTTGAAACGTCATGCAGGCATTAAATTGATTTTGAAGCTATATTTAAATTTAAATCTGTACTAACTAATATTATAAATACGAAATTAAGTCTGTCTACTACTGAACCGATTTGGATGAAATTTAATAAAGAATACAATCATTATTCTTCCCAGCACTATTGTCCCGAACTCTACCATTGCGGCGTGTAAAAATACAGGGATGGGTAAAAGCGCTTTTGCCTATTTGCAGAATCTTATAGTGACTTTTGTAATTTTTCATAATTTAAGACCCAGGGAAAAATATTTTTCAAGCGGGACACACGCTTTCTAATACAGACTGAAATAGACTCGGCCCAAAACAGGATACTTTCGATCCTGGTTTTAAAGGACACTTGCGGATGTCTTTGAAATTAAATTAAATATTTATTCAGTACTTAGGTCCTTTTCCTTACACACGTCGCAATATTGCTTGCCCTACCACCACTTCGGGATATTATTATGGCTGGCTTTCAGTGACAGTCTGAAATTCACTCAGGTCAAGAAAAACTAAGGATAGCAGGTTTTGTAAAGATTAAGATTAAGTAAGATCGAAATTAACCGGGCGAAAAACCTGTGATAGTTTTTATCCCGGTTTTTAAAAGGACACTTAGGGATCAAGATTTTCCTGACTAAAATAAACACGGGACAAAACAGGATAGTTTTTATCCCGGTCCAAGAAGGGGGACATGCGCGATAAAGTAAAGTGTTTCAGTGACAAACCGTGTTTACGGTTCAAAAACATACTTAGAATAGTTTTATCCCGGTTTTTTAAAGTTAACATAGTTTTAAGCTTACATTGTGTTACTAACTCTATATGGACTCTGGTTCGAAATAAACGTATTTTAATTTATTTCTTATTTATTTTTAAAGTAATTTTTGACATACTAATACGCACCAAGCCGCGGGCTAAGACTAGTGTTATAAATTAGGCCTTAAACATTAAAACAGCTTGTGTGAGCCTTTGAAATAATAAACACGATCGCTGTCGGCCGTGTGCTAACTGGTTGGGAGCCTTGATATTGACTGTGACCTAGTTTAAAGCTTCCTGGTGGCCGAGGTTTTGGGTTCTGCAGGTGGATTGGTGAACCTTTTTTCAGATTTTATCAAAAAAATTTTTACTAAAAAAAGTTTTAAGTAATCTGAAAAGAGCCCATGATCCATACTGATGTTATAAATGTGAAAGTAACACACTTTTGTTATCATGAACACTAAACCAATAATAGAGACTTTTGCTAAGAACGCGAGGAGTTTGTTTTTTAACTTCGAGTCTAAAAACATAACCCTCCTTCTGGCACAGTCGGGTAAAACCTCGAGTAAGACCTCTCATTATATGGGAATAAATGAAAAGAGATCAAGCATGATCTTATTCTACATTAAGTGAATTAAAGCTTGTTAGTTAAAAAATTGCTATAAATGTAATGTAAGTTATCTTTCTATTACTTTAAAACACTTGAACCTAATATATTTTGCAGTTTACTGATTGATTCGTTAGTGGTTGGTTCCAAAAGTGGGGGGCACGCCCCCCTGGGAGGCGCAAAGACCTTTAAAGAGGGGCGCGGGCCATCTGTGTACTTAAGTATAAAAAACCTGCGACTGGTGAGAGAATGTGTGCCAGACTGCTCGATACGACCAATAAATAATCTTGACTGGAGGAGGGGGGCGCGGAATTTTTTGTATATTCGAAAGGGGGCGCGTCTCAAATAAGTTTGGGAACCAATGCTTAGTGGTTGATTATTAGGTTAAAATTTAACAAGTTATGGAACTCTTCTCTACTTCTCTAAATATATTTTTGACCTTGAAGGTATTTTTGTTACATTAATCAATACGGACCCTCACAGCAAATGTGATTT